TCTTCATACAAATTCACTAAAATCACTGCGATATAAGCTGCAGTAACACGCCAGAGGGACGTAGGTTTAGTCCCGGTTCAGTCTCGTTTTAGTCCTGGATCAGTCTTGTTTTAGTCCTGTTTAATTCCTGTTTTAGTCCTTTTTTAGTCCTGTTTTAGTCCTGGTTCAGTCCTGGTTTAGTCCTGGTTTAGTCCATATATGGTACAAAAGTTGGGCATCATGGCAGAGTTATTTTGGTGAGAGTAAGTGAAAAGTACTGCAGTAGTCGAGTGTCTTACAGTTTAAATGCAGTAATATTGTAATGTAATGAATAAATAACACATTACAGTTTTGAAGTAACTTGTCCAACAGTTTTTTTTACTCTTCTGAAAATTCCTAAAAGTTGCGTCGTTTATAATACAGTGAGATTCCTCACCATAGACAAAATCAGATTTAAACTGGCAAAAATAAATAAAAGTTTGCGTTTGGTGTTATTTCACAAACCCCCATCACGGAGAAAGAAGATAGAAAGATTCAAGTAGTAACTCAAATGAACAGAGATAAACAAAAGATAACGTGCTGTCTGTTTCATTCAGAAATATTCATTTTTTCTATTAGAGTCAAATAGAAAAATGTTTGAGTAAGACTTTAAATCAGTCAATAACAACAGTCATATGTTCATAAGAGAATATAGTTGAACCTGAGAACATGAAGCACCAAACCAGACGTCCTCTTCTGTGGAACCCACGTTAATAGTCACTTTTTTGATTCAAGGAGACGCTCCGAACCACTGATAAATCCTCTTTCTATCTTTAAGTGGTGCGTCCTGTTAGTTCTGGTGTCTGACACAAATGTTTCTTCCCACAGGTCTGTGTGAGCCAAGACCCAGGACTGCTCCTGGCCCCCGGGCCTTCAGGCCCCCAGACCCCCAGACCTCCAGACCTCCAGACCTCCAGACCTCCAGACCTCCAGACCTCCAGACCTCCAGATCTCCACCACAGGACATCACATCTCACTCTAACTCACAAACAGACACTAACACACTAACACACATTAACATCCACTAACACACGCACAAACTCACACACACACACACACACACACACACACACACACACACACACACACACACACACACACACACACTAACAGCAGCACACTCACACAAACACACAAAGATTCACACACAGACACACTCAGAAAAGCACAGAAACAAACACACTCACACAAATACACACAAACACAGAATAAATATACAAAATGCCTCAACAGATGTTTCCCCCTGCAGCTTTTATGTTTCCACCCGCAGCTCCGGTGTTCCTGCCCGCAGCAGCGTCGGCATTGTACCCCAACGATGTGGTCATGTCCTCGGTGGATGACGACATCTCCCTGCCTTCTGCTTCAGCGTGGTACCTGAATGATGTGGTCATGTCCACCCTTGACGATGTCGTGTCTGCTCCTGCTACGCCCCGACCTGCTCCCGTCTCTTCTCCTGCTCCTCGATGTGTCCCTCGTCCTCGTCTAATCTCCCTCTTCTCTCCTCTTCCTCCTCTTAAGCCTTTCCAGGATCCTCTTGCCAGATGCTCCAAGCCCTCTACGCCTCCTCCTACTGTTTCCCTTTTTGCTGCTCCTCCTTTGCTCATCCCTACCTCTTCTGGTCTGTCTCTCCCTGCTCCTGCTTTGTGTCGCTCTGCTCCTCCTATTAGGTACTCCTGTGCTGTTACTCGTCTGCGTCTGAGGTACAGCCCTGCTGCTCCTGCCACACCTCCGCCACACCTCCGCCTGCTGCACACCTCCGCCTGCTGCTCCTGCCACACCTCCGCCTGCTGCTCCTGCCACACCTCCGCCTGCTGCTCCTGCCACACCTCCGCCTGCTGCTTCATCTTGCTGCAGATCTTTCTTTTCTTGGCTTTTGTCTTTTCTGAAGCACTAGTCCTTCCTTCTCCCTCTACTTTCTCTCTATCTCTCACTTCTCCTTTTCTCTCTCTCCTGCTTCTCTTTCTCCCTCCCTCTTCTCTCTCTCCCCCCACTCTCTCTTTGGCTCCTTTTCTCTTATCTCTTTCTTTCTCTATCCCTCCCTCTCTCTCTGTCTCTCTCTCCCTCTCCCTAACTCTCTCTCTTTATCTCCCTCCCTCTCTCTCGCTCTTTCTTTAGCTCTCCCTCTCTCTCTAACCCTCTCCCCCTCTTTCTCTCTCGCTCTCTAACCCTCTGTCTGTCTCTAACCCTCTGTCTCTCTCTCTCTCCCTCACACACTTTCTTTCTTTCTTGTTTTCTTTTTCCTCTCGTCGTGTCCTGTCCTGTCGTCTCCTTTTTCCTCCCCTCCTTGAGTCGTCACCTTACCGTGGTGGAGGGGTTTTGGAGCCTGAATGATCCCAGGAGCCGTGCTGGGGGACGGCTCACACCAAGAACGGCTCTTCTCTCTCTCTCACCTTTCTGCTTTTGCTCCCTCTTCTTCTCCTCCTCCTCTCCTGTTCTTCTCCTCTCCTGTTCTCCTCCTCTCCTGTTCTTCTCCTCTCCTGTTCTTCTCTCTCTCCTGTTCTTCTCCTCTCTCTTCTTCTCCTCCTCTCCTGTTCTTCTCTCCTCCTCTCCTGTTCTCTCCTCCTGTTCTCTCCTCTCCTGTTCTTCTCCTCTCCTGTTCTCTCTCCTCTCTCTGTTCTTTCTCTCCTCCTCTCCTGTTCTTCTCCTCTCTCCTGTTCTCCTCCTCTCCTGTTCTCCTCCTCTCCTGTTCTTCTCCTCTCCTGTTCTTCTCCTCCTCTCCTGTTCTTCTCCTCCTCTCCTGTTCTCTCTGTTCTCCTCTCTCCTGTTCTTCTCCTCCTCTCCTGTTCTCTCCTCTCCTGTTCTTCTCCTCTCTGTTCTCCTCCTCCCTCTCCTGTTCTCTCCTCCTCCTCCTGTTCTTCTCCTCTCCTCTCCTCTTCTCTGTTCTCTCCTCCTCTCCTGTTTCTCCTCCTCTCCTCCTCTCCTGTTCTCCTCCTCTCCTGTTCTCCTCCTCTCCTGTTCTTCTCCTTCTCTCCTGGACGTGTGGATCTTCAGTTCTGTTGTGTGTAAAAATGAACATGTAACAGAACTTTTCTCATGTACTGAACAAGAAAGGACAAAATCCAGGTGGACGTGTTTGCAGTTTGACAGAGAGAGAGACGAGGGGATGAAGAGAGAGACGAGGGGATGAAGAGAGAGACGAGGGGATGAAGAGAGAGAGACGAGGGGATGAAGAGAGAGACGAGGGGATGAAGAGAGAGACGAGGGGATGAAGAGAGAGACGAGGGGATGAAGAGAGAGACGAGGGGATGAAGAGAGAGACGAGGGGATGAAGAGAGAGAGAGAGAGAGACCTCCTGTTGAAGACCTCTGCCACAAATTAAATCTTCAACTGGACTTGGTCATTTTCATTCTTTATTCATTTAGACCAAGTCTAAACCAGGTCTAAATCCGGTCTAAACCAGAACTAAAACAGGTCTAAACCACGACTAGATCAGGTCTAAACCAGGTCTAAACCAGGACTAAAACAGAACTAAACCAGGACTAAAACAGAACTAAACCAGGTTTAAACCAGGTCTAAAACAGAACTAAACCAGGACTAAAACAGAACTAAACCAGGTCTAAACCAGGTCTAAACCAGGACTAAAACAGAACTAAACCAGGACTAAAACAGAACTAAACCAGGTCTAAAACAGGACTAAATCAGGTCTAAAACAGGCCTAAAACAGGTCTAAACCCGGTCTAAACCAGGTCTAAACCAGGACTAAACCAGGTCTAAAACAGAACTAAACCAGGACTAGATCAGGACTAAATCAGGTCTAAAACAGGTCTAAACCAGGACTAAATCAGGTCTAGGTCTAAAACAGGACTAAATCAGGTCTAAAACAGGTCTAAACCAGGACTAAATCAGGTCTAAAACACACACACACAACAGTACAGTATCAGACATTATCAGATGAGACACAAAATATAAACCCAAAAGTATCCAAGGATTGTTGAGTATCTGATAATAACAACTCAAATACAAAATACTGAACGGTTACAAAAAGACTTAGACTTAGATTTTTTTAAATTCATTTTATTTTATTTTATTTTTTTAATTTTTAAAAATTGCGATTCCAGTGTTACGTCATGTAAAAGGAGATTGGTCAGTTCCAGGTCTCCTCAGGATCGGCCATGGTCTACTGAAGCTCCTTCCACATCAGCCATAACATTGTCTGGGATTGGATGAGGTTTTGGTGAGTAAGTTTGGAGCCTCCATGTTCCTTGTGGTCAGCAGTATCCACCATGTACTGAACTACGTAGCCGATACTGCCTGCACATGGCAAAATTTTAATTGCTAACCCGCCTAGTGTGCTTTTTTAGCAGGTTTGTTCTTCTTTTGTTGCATTCGCTGGTCGTTGACGAGTTGACGAGAACCATTTTTTCACTGATGTTGCGTATTTTAGCGTTGTGTGCGGTTTTGGCGCACTGCTCCATCTCCCTCTTGTGGTGAGTTACAATTCTTTCTGTGCGCTCTTTTTGAACTTGTATATACTCCACCAACTGCCTGTTCAAATAGCGTGCGTCCTTATCTACAATGGCTTTAGTGTTACCTGCGATGTAGTATTCGATCATGGACGAAACCTTCTTCTTGAGCTTGGCGGGGTCTTGTAAAACGTCTCGACAGCCTTCCAGACCTACCAGAATATTGCGCTGCTTGCATTCTAAGATTTCTTACTTTTCCTTCTCAGATTTCAAAGTCGACTGAGAAACTTTGAGTTGGCTTTTGCATAATTGCATCTTTTCTTTCATGTCCTGATTTTCGTCCGTCATCATTTTAAGCTCGAGCTTATTTTTTTTTCTGGTGCTTTTTAAACTCATCGACCTCGTCCTGCAAATCTTGTTGCATTTTCTTACTTAAGTGGACGCTACTTTCTAGTATCATTTGTTTGTGTTGTTCGTCCAACTGCGCCTGTAGTTGCTTCTTCTCTTTGGCCTGTAAGTGCAAATCCTGTGCGCGGTTCACTTTTTTTTTTTTTTTTTTTCCAGTTTTTTGATGGGACTTTATTCTTGAGTGGCTGTTATCGTGTGATTCTCGAAGGCTGATTGGGCTTCAGTCAATACTTCCTGCATATCCACTAGTTGCAGCTGTGGAATCTGATATTTTGGTGGTCTTGAAGCTTCGCATCTGAAATTGGCCAGTGTGCCACATTTTGCTACACCATCCACCCAAAGGCCCTCATAAAGCTGCCCTTTGTCAGGGTAGAATAACTTCCCATAGCCATTCTTATTTCCATCTCTCCAGGAACCCTCATAGAAGTTTCCATTTGCATATTGAATAATGCCTTTGCCATGTCTCTTGTCCTTCCACCACTCTCCTTCATAGGTATCTCCATTGGCACAGTACATTATTCCCCACCCACAACGTGTATTCTCACTCCACTCTCCTTCATAAATGTCTGAGCAGTTGTAGCTGAATATCCCAAAGCCATGTTTTTTCCCATTTTTCCACTCTCCATAATATTCTGTATACTCATTGGATTGTGGATTTCCAATGCTGTACATGCCACATCCATCACGCATTCCACATTTCCAATCACCTTTATAAATTGCACCAGTCTTCTTCCACACTTGAATTCCCCAGCCATGCTTCTTGTTGTTCTGCCATTCTCCAGTATATTTGTTTCCACAGACAGAATAAACAGTGTTCCTCAGTCCATTCTTTTGGGTCTTTTTATCCAACAGTGTTGACAGTGACTGTTTGTTGTGACTGGGTCGCAAATACTGCATGACTAGGATTTAAGTCAACGAAACTCCCTACAAAAAAGACCTCACACGACACTATTTCTCCTCGAAAATGTTGTTAGCTTGCTGTTTGGAGAGTCCCTGTGTCGCAAATGCCGTAAATGCACTCTTATAAACTTTCATACCGTTATAAAGCTTTAACTTCCGTTATAAAGCTTTAACTTCCGTTATAAAGCTTTAACTTCCGTTATAAAGCTTTAACTTCTTAGAATGTTGCTATGGTGATAGTTCTATCACCATAGCAACTGTTGCTATGGTGATAGAACTATCACCATAGCAAGTTCTAGGCCCTAGAACTTGTTATTTTATTTATGTATTTTTTTCTTCTTTTCCTAGAACTTGTTATTTTATTTATATATTTTTTTCTTCTTTTCCTAGAACTTGTTATTTTGACGCGCTCCAGCCAAACTTTGTATTTGTTGTTATTGTCATGTTACGATATTGTTCTGTTGTGAACATGTAAAAGTTATAATACACTTAAAGCAAAAGGTTCAGTCATAAAAGTGATGTCACAACAAGTATGCTATCCTAAATTTAAATCATTTTATGACATTTTTCAATTAGAAATAAATAGTAAGTTTGATGCAAGGAACATTATTCATTAATAGTTATGGTTTTATTTACCAAGAATGATGGAAACTTAAATTGTTATTACAGAGTGGAAAGAAGAGAAACGAATATTGTACGTAAATGTAATTTCTATGTAAATTGTAATTTTTGGTATTGTGCTTATTTAATTAAAGTTAATTGGCAGTAGCAGAAAGCCAAGGCAACAGAAACTAACGTCTCCGTTTTATTTAGTTTATTTCAGTGCCAACCTCTCTCCACTCAAATATTTTAAACTGTTAGCTGTGGTTGTTCTGGCCCAATACCTTTGCTACACTAACATGACTAAAGGCTCACGAGTCAATTCTGCCTTATATTGGACCTTTAAGTATATTTAAACATCCACAACACAAAGTAGGTAATCATAGTGTAATCATGTCTTATTATCCAAATTATGTCATAATGATCTACAAGTGTCTTAGATGTCATTCTATAGTAGACACAAGCACAATATGTCTTCTTTAAATCAATAGGCCAATAAAGTCTTACATACATTTTAGTTTGAAATGTCTTAAACCTGACCTTTATTAATGCTAACGCTGATTTATTCATAATTACAAAACACTGGCCATAATGGACAAGTTATAACTTGGCGTCATTTGGGCTGCCAGTTTCAATGTTGAAATTCAGAGTCCAGTTGGTTTAAAGTCCATGGACTATCAGACATGTTAATCATGTTATTCTTCTGCCACCTAGTTAAAACATCAGGCAAGTGCACTTTTGATTTATCAGAGAGAAGCAGTAGGACCAACTGACCACGTTTATAATAGTTTTATCTATAGGTCTACAGTACAGGTTATGTTTTCTTTTTTTATTAGCTTATTTAATTTTTCTACATAGCCTCGTATTAACGTATGACGTATATATGTGCGATTACAAAAAGAGTCACTTTTTGAAGCAAAGCTAAAGGCCTGCCTAAACAAAAGTTATTCTGTAAGTCTGGTCTGTTTCTATATTGTTTAACAGATACAGGGTCAGTGGGGCAGGACATTGTGTTGCTGTGCATCTGTGACCCTCCTCTGGACCTCAGGGCGCTCACGGTGCTGTGGTCTCACTCCGGGCTGCAGGAGGATGAGCAGGAGCACAGGGGGCACCAGGGGCACCAGGAGGATAGAGACGTGGCAGAGGATAGAGACGTGGCAGTGGACACGCCGGTTTCACCCACCAACCCAAAGGACGAGGACAAACGCTCAAAGGCGTTCAGACTGGAGGACAAGGAGCTGCAGTGGTGCTCAAGCTGAAGACTCTGGGTCTGTTTTTTTTTACTTTTAAATTAAACATTTGTTGAATTGATTTGTTGATTTTTTTTAATGCCAGTTTGATATTATCAATAGGCTCAACTTACTACGTTTTTAATATTTGTGATGACATGATTAAGACAAACATTATGCAAAAGAAATAATTACAACATTTTACCATGCCACTCCAAAAATATTCGTGCACATAGAATAGAAATCCGTGCATATTTGGTAAATCCGTGCATATTTGGCTGTAGTTGCGCATAAAATAAATATTTGTAAACTCTCAAATGAGTCCAGTCGTACATAAAATATATTGTGTGTATTTTATCCATCAGAATACGAATTGAAAAATTACGACGTCAAGAATTACAATCACGAAATGAAAATTTACGATTACGCTTTCATCAGTACGAATACGAATTCACAGATGGAATTTTACTGTCAAAAATACGTCATCACTTCACAGACATTATTCATCGAGCAGAAGAAACATCAATCAAGATCAAGACTGTGCAGCTCAAGTTTGTAGCAGAGGGTAAAAACAGAGTAAAAGCACAAGAAGCTACAACAGCGACCAACAAGTGGGTTCATTAAAATCTATTGTAAAAATGTCTTGAATTCGGGAACCGAACGCTACTACAGCCAAATATGCACGGATTTCCCAAATACGCACGGATTTCTAGTTTATGCGCACAAATATTTTTGACAGCTTTCTTACTCCATACACTCCCCTAGACCCTGTGGCACGTCACTAAAAGATGTTAAAAAACTGGACGTGGAACAAAAACGGGAGCGTGGAGAGGTGTCCAAAAAGAAAAACAATGTTTAATGTTCAAATAACTAAGTAACACAAAAATGAACCAAGATCAACTAAGGTCCCCCCAGCTGACTCTTCATGTCATCTCGATCAAAAAAAGTCAATGACAACTTGACGATGTGCAAAAGCGCCCATGTTATCCTAATACTGTAGTGTGGGCGATCTGTGGAGAACACCATAAAGTCTAGATAATAAACAATGAAGTTCACTGCACCAGCTCAGTGAGATTCAGACCAAAACACACATTTGACCGCCGACGTATGAAGATGAAATTTTATTGTAAACACATTAGGCCCCTGTTTCTTTTGGCCAAATCAATTCCATGTACTGTTGTAGGCGGCTGCTGACCAAGTTTGGCAACACATTGCAATTTGGACACTCCACCGCAGTGCTACAGAACAGATAAGAAATTTCGCCTACATCTCCGTGTCGGAATAGCAATACTAAAAATTTCAGAAAACCGGCACATCTAAATAGAGGCAGGTCGTAATGAAGGGATGTCGGAATAGGCGGTGGACCCCTTACAGAATGTCATATTTAGTTTCCAACTGAACTCAAATATGACTTTTCTGTCCCTCCTCACAGCAGTTGTACAAACCTAAATAATTATAGAGCTTCAGTTCATTATCACAAATTAAATTCATGTTGTGTGGGTGCACCCAGTAGTTTTACCTGTTCACATTCCACAGAGGCTGGTCACGTGATTGAGCTGCGTGCTCACAGTGAAAACAGCGTCTGAGCCATGGTGAGTTTTTGGTTCTCTGCCTTTAAATAATTCTATTTCTTTTTTAAAAATGGTTCACTGGGATTATCCATCTTTATTGTTTGTTTTTTTTTCAGTGGTATAAAGTAGTTTCAGGATCATCGTTTATCGTGCTATTTCTCTATATGAATATATAAATATAATGTGATATCATGTCAGGCCTAAGTACTACTAATCCTCACTTTGATTCAGTAGAACTGGTTCACAGGTTTTCCCTAAAGTTGTGAGCAGTGCTACTGTCAGTTTAGTAGAAGTGGTGTTAAAATGACAAAAGCCTTTTTCACATGGAGCAGAAATGTAAAGAGTGAAATATGTCTCTCTGTGGTTTCTCCTCCAGTTGAAGCGAGCGGGGAAATGGCTTCAGGGAATCAGCAGATAAAAGGACGTCCCATCAGAAAAGAACCTCCAGGGGGGAGCACTGAGCCGGATCTCTCTGGGACAAAGTGAGTGTTAGAGAATTCTATGATATAAATGTATTTCTTTGATTAAAGTCTCATTAAAGTGTTACTCATTTATATATGTCATTTGGTGCACTAAAGTATTAATCATTTAAAGGGTGAATCATTTAAATATTAATCATGGTGTAATCAACATTGCTTTGGGTCTGTTTTGGTTCAGGAAGTACAGGACATGATACCAGCAGCAGATATGAATGACATGTCAACTGACAGATTAAGCTAATCTACTATGGGCGCCAACAATTCTGGGTTTGTCCCATCTTATGTTAAAACTGAAGGCCTTGGGGAACTACTAAATTGTCTATCTTTGGGATATGTAATCAAATGTGAAATGGGAGGGTGGTTCAGTTGACGATTGTTAGTTATAAGATAACATGTGAAATGTATGTCATCAAGTGTTGCTTATCTGTGACATGATTTTCAATAAAAGTGTGACTTGGAGAGTTGTTGAGCAGAGTCGGTCAGGGAGCTGACAGACAGTGTGCACGACTCTCCTTGCGCAAGTATAAATTTTAACCGTCTCTTTCTGGTGTGTCTGGTGTAATCTGATGTCTTAGGGTAGAATTCCCTGACAGTGAGTCCAGTCATTTGTCATTCACTGTTAAACCCCATCAGCTTATGTACTGATTTATTTTGGGGACAGTGCCTAAAAATTAAAATAGGATTCAATATAGCAGTAGACACACACACACATATATATATATATATATATATATATATATATATATATATATATATATATATATATATATATATATATATATATATATATTAAAAACTCACTTACCTTCATTTACTAGTCAAACAGGGTAAAACTAAAATAATCTACTCTGTAAACAGATCAGATCTCAAAGTGAAAAAAACCCTGGATATCTCTACAAATATGGACAAGGCAATGTCAAACAAAAGGATGCCTCTTTTAATGGAAACACATTTTTAGCCTACAGAGGGCTTCATTTTATAGAGACCCAGAAAATCAAAGTGAAATAATGATGTGACAGGCTTGTCCATTTTGACAAAATGCAATTTCTGCATCTCAAAATCTTTCTCAATATCTTCTGTGATCCCCACGTGCTTGTCTGCATGTTTGACAAAGTCGTTTGCTCCTGATGAGACGACAGATGGAGTCTTGTGGAATGTCCTCCCAGATCTGT